ATTAACTATCCATTAACTATCTCAACAGACTTAATACAATTTCATTAAACCACTCAAATTCCTCACTGAAATACCAGCCTGCTGACTTCAAAACAAAATTTGCACAATGTTTACATTTATTTGAATACATTTACATTAATCAGTTCGAAGTAAAGATGGGTATATTAATAGCCTGCTTGGATTATGATTATAGCTCAACGAGTGTTTGTAAAAAGGTAGTTTTTCAGAGAACAGCTTCATTTTTGCAGACTGCTTTTACTCTTTACTCCGTGGATTTAAAATCTGCAGATGTTAACTTTCCCCTAAGTAGATATTTGTAAGAAATATATTAAAGACATAAAATTAACTTTTTTCCCATAGCAAACAATACTCTTCAAAATGCTCCAATTATCAGCCTCTGCGAATTTTGCTAATTACTCTGATCCACTTTGATCTCTCTTAATCGAACATCTTAATATATAATTCTGGCAGCACTTCTTATGGAAAAAAAAGAGTTTTCACTTCTTTCTAGTCTTAAAGATTATTCTCCAAGTAACTTTATCTCCCCATTTTACAGAGCTTTTAGGAAAAAGGACCACTTACCAATAGCTCCTCTTGTTGCTGATGGTCAACCGAACAGATATAGAGCTGCAGTGATTTTAGTTTCAGAGCACTTGAATGCACAGGGATTCGGAACACTTCATTAAATAGTAACGGAGACTGGAATTCCAAAGACCTAGAGCAGTAAGTGGTCGGTGTGCTGGACTCCAGGGGTGGCAAATAAACCCGCACATGGCTGGGAGGACCAAAAAAGACAAACAACACCACTGAGATAAGGGAAGCTGCCGTCAGCTGCCTTGCCTTGCTGCCCAATCAAGCTAAGCAGAAACAGAAATGTAGCTTCTACATTAAGAATGTGCTTGGAGAGCTCTATTACAGGAATTTTAGTATTCTTCACATAGAAGAACTGCAAAGCCCATTTAGAAACCCTGGCTTTTTCTAACACTATTTATGAGCCTTGGGAATACAATTTAGACATGAAAATCAGTTACCTAAGCAGAGGCACCAAGTGCCACTTGAGATGCCCTGAGACATCTACATGGGACTGGCAAATACGACACAGGATCTATGGGAGAGCCCCAACCCTCCTGAGGAAGGGCAGCTGGAGGCCAAGAGCTGCACTGTGACATTTCAAATCGAAGCAGATGCCTGTGTTTAGGCAGCTGAATTACAGCATCAGTGCCACTGCTCCATTTCTTCCTTGCAGCCACCCAGCATGCATCTTTTTTCCTTTTTTTCCTCCCTGAGAAGTTTAGCACGAAAGGAAAGCAAAAGAAGCCTACAGGCAATGCATTCATCTGCTGTCTGAAAATGCTAAATTTACATATCTGCTATTGCTACATTTGAGCTTCCATGCCCCTCCACAAAAATAAATAAACCCACAAGCACTTTTAGTGTGGCAGAAGGCAGCAGCGCTACTTGGAGCTGAGCTCTGCTGTGCTCTCAGCACCCTACCTGCTAGCGCAGCCCCTACAACATCTTACTTCTTGTTGTAACTTCTCCTGTAGCAACGAGCAAGGTCACACAACTGTGTAGCAAACCCAACTGGGAAACTTGTCAGGGTTAAAAAGCTAACTTGGCACGATACATCAATGAAATAAACAATCCTGCTCAGATGCTCACTCTAGTTGACTACACAACTGCAGAAAGTCTCGTGCCACCATCAGAGAGGAGATGGTGCTGGCGGACACAGAAATGGTGAGAGGAGAAGCCAAAGAGCTTGCCCTGGTGCTGGAAGGCAGAGCACCAGTTACCTCAACTGGCCTCAGAGCTAATCCTGTGAAAAGAGAGCAACCACCTGCCGCAGGTAACCTCCAATTCAGTGAGCTCCAATTCAGAGCTGCAGGAAGGAGCTCATTGTACTGGTAACCTCCAATTCAGTGAGCACAGAGCTGCAGGAAGGAGCTCATTGTACTGCCAAAAAACTTTCTGGTTTTGGTAGTATTTTGGGATTTATTTTATTTTAAAACCTCCTTTAGAGTCTATCTTTTCCTAGGTCAGCCACTATGACCTTCTTCAGATCACCTCTTTCCAATTACGAGGGAACATAGCTGAGTCCTGCAAAAACTCACACATTTCCTAGCACTCCCTTGTATTCACACTGAAAACAAAGCTAACAACTGCCACTAGGGCACTGACCTAATGCAAAAGTTTCAACGGGAGGTTTACAGGGTTAGCATGACCAGGCGTTCTGAACAAAGATCATTCAGGGAGATTTGTGTCAATTGAACTACTCAGAACATTCACATTCTGACTTACTTTGCAATACAACAGTATTATCACACCTCAATTCTGCAAAGTTTTCAGACAAGTTGTCTTTATAGACACAAGAATCAACAAATTTCATGGGTCATATATCTCCAAAATAGGTTAAAATACCTATCACTTGGTGAGACTTTTACACTGTCATTCTTTAATGAAGTAATGATCTGCATAACATCATGTGGAATTGGAAGTAACAGCATAGACAGAAGTTAAGAAAACTCCAATTCTTTGCACTGATTGCCAGATAACCTTTTTATTAAATTGATTTTAGAAAGATACTTAATAGATATTCAGGGAGATCTGCAATGGCCACAAAAGCCTGCAGATTACCTACTTTTTTTTTGTTTGCTTGCTTGCTTGTTGCTCATTTGTTTTTCCAATAAAAGGCAAAGCATCTAAGCATCTCTCTTGCTGATCAATATCAATGGCACCTTAGAAATGTGGGAAAATTACACTCCATTATCCTGGGATATGTCAGAGATAAACTTAGAGTTGTACAGGAAGTAATATACTGGGAATAACATAAATACTGCAGGTAGCTTTTTAAGCAGAAGGCGTGGGTTGATGGAAGAATAACTATACTGTTTTCGAACAAATTTTCAGTTGCGTAATGAACATGTAAGAACACAAATGAGTAGAAAATAAATTCATTAACTATTTAGACATCAATTTCCAAAACAGCAACATTTTGTGTCCAGAAAATCACCCTCTTCTCTACTGTCCATCAAGAAATAGTGTCATCTGCCCAAGAAATGGTAAATTGTATGGAAGCAAACGCATTCATGATATTTGAGACTGTCTCGCAAAACAAGTGATCATCAGGCTCAGGGTAAAATTTCAGCTTACATTTTGCAGTTTTCTTTAACAACAAGGCTAGTAAAGTTCCTCAGCTGTAAGACGTGGACTAAGAGACATTCACTTCCACTGTCATGCCTGCAAAGTAAATATCCTGTGTTAGTCATCCAATATTAATTCTTTGCTTAAGAGATGGCGATACAAGGCTAAAAAGATTATGAGACTGTAAAAGCATCTTTCCAGCCAAACAAATCTCTCATACAAATCAGTTTAAGTCAAAAGCAACTACAGATATCACAATAAATAACAGAACCATGACAGCATTACCTCACATTAACAAAGGAAGTTACCAGAACTAAAAGTATTAAAAACTATTCTAGTTAAAAAATGAATATTGTTCCCTACTTGAAAATCATGACCCTTGAGTGTGAACAGGTTTTACAAAACATATCCCTTCTTTTAACCAGGCATGCTGTGTGTGTGTGGACATAGGTATATCAATCTGCGTGTAGAGATGAGCGTGTGCACGGCTGTGTCATCTGAACATTTACACATTTTTCTTGCTGCTTAATGGCAACAAGAAGAAGAAATCCTTTCTTTCCCATCAATCAGCATGAATTTTGAAATGGAAGGAGCAAACTTGGCCGAGACTTGGAAACTTCCAGCTTTGGGCAGCAGCGCTCCCGGCAGCGCTGTCCGAGACGCGACACGCCGTGCGACCGGCTGCCCTCGCGCGCGCTGCTGACCCGAGCACGCCCCGCACGCAGCCTTTCCAAGCCGAGTTTGGGAGGCCCCCAGCTGCCTCCTTCCCCCGAGACTTTCCCAAGATAATCCTGCTTTTTGCGGCATAAGGAGTCAGATCTCACGCACTGAGAGGTAGCCCTATACCTGCACTCACACAAACGCCCCGGACAACGGAAAAGCTCCCGAAAGCAGCAGCACGGGCCCTTTGTTGGGCAGCATCAGGACGACACTGAACAATGCGAGGCTCAGCCCCAGCAGAGAGCACTACGAGACCTGCCTAATCTCCCAGCCCGGGAAAGCCAGGCTTTTAGCTCCAAACCTTCTTTAAACTGTCCACCGTGGCCAAGCTTATTAAAAAGTTAAGAACCATAGGCAACGCCTGCTGTGAGGGCTACGGAGAAGGAACAGCAGTATTACTCACAGAAATCCAACGTGGATTTGCGGCTCTTCACTACTGGCAACATCACCATAGGCAGGCTCTTCCATATCTTCATTTCTGTAAAAACATAAAAGCACTGTAAACTACATGCTGACGTAAGCTGTTAAGATATAATGAAACGAGCATTTATTTTGCCAATATTATTTTACATACATATATATATAACCAATATTAGCAACTATGTGGCAATATTATCAGGAGGGACTCAGGCATCTACTTAAAACACACAGAACAGAAAAACTAATTCGCAAATTAAAAAGAAGTTCTCAGAATAAAACTTTTTGAGATATTTAGTTTTATTTTTGTTTTCCATTTTTCCTTAGCATCCTCAAGTCTGTCTCTTCTTCTCATTTGCTCTTCACTGTGTTAAAACAATTTAATAAGATTATGCATCTTAATCCCTCCCTCATCACTTGGTTGAGCCACACATTTTTAGATTTTCAATAGTTCACATATTATCTTCCTTTCTGTTGTATCTTTATCTTTTGCTGCTCACTCTAAGTCGTACTCCATAGAATTATATTTTACTATTGACTTTGAAATAAAATTAACGATTTATGTCTATTAAGCTGGGAAATCTATCTTTCAAGGGAATAATACTGGGTGTTGAAATTGTAGAGACAATGAATCGAAGGGGACTTGGCACTTGTGAAGATGATAGCGGAACTGCACACGCATTTCTTCATTCTTCTGCAACATGCAACCCAATATTCTCCCGTTACTAAAATAGCAATTTAAAAAATGTATTCAGAAATTTACAGTGAATTCTTTCAGAGGGTGTGGCAGAACAGGAATATTTCCAGCTTACTGTGTATTTATACACCTGACCTTTTGCTTAAAGCTTCAAACACGCCACTGTCACTAGCCAGTGAATGATCTGAGAGACATGCTGAAACTCGCCTGGCTCTCCTCTCCGATCTTCTACTGCTGTCTCCTCGCAGAGTTACAGCTATCGTGGAGAAAAGGGGAAGACAACATCAGCTCGAGGTAATCGGCCACGGGTTACGTCAGAAATGCATAATTTATCACAACTAACCCCAAGACGGTCGACACAAACACAGTTCATTCCTTTTAACCTAACCGCAAGGAAGAAAACATCCTAGAAAACAGACCAGAGTTTTCCTATAGGAGAACTAAGGAAGGAAATTGTGTGGCTAATTTCTCTAATTTTACACTTAAGTGTAAATCAATTTCATTGTTATTACAGTGCTTTTGTGATGGAATAATCAATCCTGGAGGAATACTTACATTAATTCAGCGTACATACACATCATATCCTAAACTTCAAGATTTTCCTCCTAAATACACAATAGGTTGAAAACCAACACAGAGACTAATTCTTTTAAGAACTTACCAGATAACACAAGCCAAGATTTTGTTTTGTTCTTGTTTGTTTTAAACATGAAATCTCAAAGCACACTGCTTATTAAACCATAGCATAACAGAAGTTTCTATTTAGAGTCTGAGGCACATTATGGAAAAGAATCATTTTTCTGGTTCCAACTTTCCAGTTAATTCAGAGTGCTCTTTTGTAAAATTCTCCGTGAATGACTTTGCAAAATGCTGGAGGCAGGCAGAAGGAATAACGGCAAAAGCCCCTTTTTGAACCTTTCCAGCAACAGCAGCAGCAGAAGTGGCCCAACTACCTCTTTCATATGGTCAGTATATCAATGAAACGGAATTGATTTTTGCACCAGCAAGTACATACTGCAGGTAAAAATCCATCTAGCTATATGCACAAATAATAATACTTAAGAATTGCATATGTAAGATTTTGATACCTCAGTGAAAGCCAGTAGCTTGAAATTTTGATTCTTCTGCATGGATGGAACTAGATAGAACTATTAAACTGACTTAATTAAGTCAGTTTCTTCACTAATTTATACCTCCCTTTTGAGCAAAACTTGCGACAGGCTATAGACCTACCAATAATGGATTCTAAAGCATTGTTTGAAAAAAAAAAAGTTAATGAAATAGACAACTATCTTTCACATTATTCCCTAAAAAACACAATCACTGAAAAAAATAAAAACAAAACAAAAAAAAACAACAAAAAAAAAGGATTTAAATTTGAGTACAGAGCACCAAAACTTGACAAATATAAGACAGGCTTAATCAGAAGAATATTCACATATGTTTTTTGTTGAACAAGTGGACTTCAAAGAAAAATTCAGCTTGGGTTCCAAGATTTCACTAGCTAAAAAATATTTACATAAATCTAAATAATTAAATAGTCATTAAATAATCATGTTTCAAAAGCTTTGACACTACAAATATTGCAAGTAGCTCACAATGCATTAATAAACTTGTCAACACTCTTAAAAAGTAAATCAGAAACATACAGACCTTACCTACCATGATGCTGCCAGGCATTACTATAATATAGCAAAGCTGAAGCTTGCAGAAAAGTTTTTTCCAAGAATTTAACTGCAGCCATGAATATGTTGTTTAGTTGACATAGCAAAATAAGTAAAGCCATCATGACTAAACAGGTAGAGCATAATATCAAACAAAAATAGATATAGCAAGATCTACTTCTTTTTCACATGCAACTCAGAAAGAAAACACTACACACAGAAAAACACACTGAAAATTACAGGCAAAAACAGCACAATAAGTAATTTTAGGTTCACTTACAGTGAATTTTTCTGTAGTGCCGCATAAGAAACAAGACAAAATGAAGAGCATACAGTGATAAATCATCTTTTAAGACTATGTCAATATTTGTAAACAAGAGATTACTTTGACATTAGAGGAGACATAGCACTTGAAAAATTATTTTAGGATAGACAGGAAGAAACTGCAGATATTAAAGCCCAGTGTTTTATTAACATGTTTCCTCCCACTCCCAGCTTTATAAATACAGTGGCTTTAGTATCCCCATATTCCCAAAGGAGATACAGAGCAAGAAAATAGCAGGTTAACAACTAAAGAACAAAGCAGCAGTTTCTGAAGAACTCTTGGCACCAGGCTTGAACTCTGTTTCAATACATGGACATCACTGTATGCTAACTCTACCAGCTCCCTGAATATTCAAAAACCTATTGGTCTGACGGGAAAACCAGCAAAATATTTGTCCACGCTGACATATAGTTGCTTTCCAGCATTGCATTATGTTATCACACCACTGGGTGGCAGCAACAAAACATATGGCATAGTGAAAACCAAACCCCCAGCGATTTGGAGGTTCCCAAACTCTGATGTATGAATATAGATGGTACCTGCACAGTACATGAGGTATACGAGTTTGATGTCCTATCAAATATACTTCTAGAAAATAGTAGAAATCAAAATAAAAAATTGGGAACCTCTAATTGCTACTTTGAAAAGCTCTGCATTAGAGTATGCAAACTCACCAGCCACATGAGTATCAAGCTCAAAGAAGGTCTAGCCAAACTCTAAGCAAAGAGCAGAAAGGATGAACTACTTCCTAAGAAACTGTTCTCAAATTCAAATTAAAAAAACAAAATCAAATCAAATAAACAGCATGTCTACCCATTAGCCATACACTGTTTCTCAAAAAGCAATCTAAGGCACTATACCTTGTCCACAGAGAAAAGTTGCAACCATTGGACCACGGCGGTTAGCAGCAGCAGCACAGGCAAGATCTGCCAGAGGTTTTCAGAGAAATGTGAAATGTGCAGATGTCTCAAAAAGGAGTACAAAAGGAAAGCCAAAGCAAGACCTTGACCCTCGTCCCCTGGCTCCCTAGGCACTCAGACATAATTTCTAGGAAAGGCATTCAGGCTATAAATGAACTGCTAGCATAGTTTCATTCACACCACAATGAGTGAAGACATGCTGTGGTCTGACCTGAGGTTTGAAGAAAGCCTCACGAAGCTTCTCCATGGCTCTAATTTAAGCACAAACTTACATGCTGGTCTCTGCAACTCTGTTTATTTTGGTCTGAATACTGCAGTATGGGCACTAGAAATGTTTACATACAGTAAATGTAAAATCTGCAGCAGTATTTTCTGGCAATGTTAGTTGCATTAAGAAAAGTAGGTAAGTTAATATCGCGAAACTATTTGAACAATATAGGCTTTTTATCATCTTTAATAAAATGCTGAAACCTCTTCCGTAGATACTGTCAATGATCCTTCCCATTGTCTGTTGTTGACAAACAAAATTTTAGAAGGATAGTAAGTTGTACGTTTATCTTTCATTATACCTAATGCCCTAAGTCTTCAATGCAATATTCCAAGAGAACGCATGGAAAATGCTGAGGACAAAAAGAGGGATGGGAATTACAGTCTTAAACAGGAAAATATTCCTCTATGGGACCTTCTCTACTAGGCACTCACCCTAGGAACATAAGCAAGCCAACACACAGAAAGCTGCCATAATGAAGGAATATTCCTCTCCGTTTGAACAGGTCCTCACTGAACTAAGCAGAAATAAGAAAGGAATCTCTCGCATGTGCCAGGGTCTTTTGTTTGTTGAAGGTTTCTGTTTCCTCTTTTGATCTCTCAAAGATTTCTCACACGCTAACATCTACAGTGTCTCAGAAGCCTAGCAATGCAGGCTCAATAAGTCCATCAAGTTCACAGAAACCTCCAGCAGTGAGTTCTGCTGTAGTAACCAAGAAAGTGGCTCCATGATCCCAGGCAAACAAAAAAATCACCACAGCGGATCCTCAAGTCCTCAGACACCACCAGCAGAAAACAGATTTTTGCTGCTGTGGAACTGAACTCTGCGCATGGTGCACTAGGAATTCAACGCCTGGGCCACCCTAGTCATGCGATCTCTGCTACTTTGCAAAACTCCCAAAATGGGCAGAGGATATCTGGGTATGTAGCATTTCAGCACAGAGAAAAGCAACCTTCTAGCACTGTCACCAGCAGCACCTCATGTCTTTTTTTCCTTTACTATCTTCTTTGCATTTGTGCTGTTTTAAATTATCAGAATGATGGTAATATGTTGGGGGCTCAGACTTCACTAATTTATGAAGATTTTTATTAATTTCTGAACAAAGAGCAAGATATTTATTCCTCGGCATGACACACTCCAAAAAAAGTTTGTCTTCCCTTGTCTTTTCTTCCATCAATTCACCAGAATTAAGTTTTTATTTTTCTTTCAAGAGGCAAACAGGAATGATATAAACCAGAGCACAACCTAAGGATTCTCCTGAGTATTTCTCTTTATTTTTACTAAAGAAATGGTGTATTTTGAACTAAACAATGCAGTAATATTCTGTTAAAAAAGTATCTTATGGTCTATTTGCAAACATCATATTTATCAATTGCCCTAAATCAGACACTCAGAGGGTTTCTGGTGTATTTTGAACTAAATGATGCAGTAGTATTCTATTTAAAATTCTATTTTATAATCTATTTGCAAACCTCATATTTATCAAATGCCCTAAATCAGACACTCAGAGGGTTTCTTGAACAGTTAACGGCTACCATGCAATTTTGAACTGAATAAACTAAAGCAAACCAAACTGAGAAGTAATCCTTCCTGTGCTAGTACGCTTAGCTTTGCACAGCATTCTCTATGGTAACGTGACAAAACAGTGCGTGAGGAAACTCACCTCCCCCAGTCTGCACGTTAGCCAGCTGTGGTCCCACTTCTCGCAGCCCTTCGTTGTCCCCAGGATAAGCGGACGGCTGAGATGAACTCGTTCCTTGGGCATCATCCTCGCCCAGCATTGCAGGCTGGGCCCTGAGCATTTCCAGGGCCCCCATGCTTGCCATCTCCTCAAAACCTTCGGACATTTGAGCCAGGGGGGAATCTCGGGACGCGGAGAGGAACGGGGTGTCCAGAGGTGAGCTCGGAGGAGACAGCGACGACAAGGAGGACCGCGACGACAAGGAGGCCAGGGACTGCGGCGTATCCAGGGACCTCCGCTGCTTGCTGAAATTCCCGTGGCCAATGGGGTCGGCGTACGGCACGTCCTTCGTGAGGGACTCGAACGGAATGATGTCAAAGCGCAAATGCTGCCCGTAGTCCGTGGCACTGTCGGATTTGTCGTACTGCGGGAGGCCGTAGATATCCGTAAAGCTGACCGAGCTGAGAGAGCCTCTGCTGGAGGCCAGGGAGCCTCGACTGGAGGCCAGGGAGCCCCTGCTGCTGCCCGAGGACATTGTGAGGGTGCTGGCGGACAGGCTGCAGCACGCAGAGGAAGACAAGACCAAAAAACAAGCCCTTTCACACGTGAGCAGAAACCAATCCTGCTACAAAGAATCGTGCTCACAGGCTAAGTGAACACGCAAAATCCCCCTGAGTAATCCAGCCCAGAGAGTCGTCACTAATACCGCGGCATAAAATTCCATCCAAATTGCCACATTCGGTAGATCAAGCCATATAAATTTAGTAAATATTTAGATTACTCAGTAAACATACCTAAGAAATATTAAATGGTAAAATTATACTATTCATAATCTCTGCTGCAGTTATAAACCTTAAAAACCTTTTCTTTTCACGTAACTTACCTTTTTAACTGGGAGTGTAAATACGAGGTCAAACGTGTAGCTTCTTCTAGTTGCATAAGCAAACAATTTCTCTTTTCCTGTAACAGTATCCTATAATTAAATAGAAACATATTACTATTTTTCTCTATATTACAGTGGTGCCAAAGTAATGCTATGAGATTTCCAAGTACAGAGAAACGCCACCACCTTGCAGTTTTGAATTTAAAAAGTTTCACTGTTTAACAAGAAATTTAAATTTATGCCAATTTATTTGCAGTGATGGAAATCCCAGGGAAGACACAGAAACAAACACTCCAGCAGAATCCCCAGACAAGAAAAGAAGCTGAGCCACAACACAGAGAGTCTCCGACTTGGCAAGAAATTGCGGCAGTTGTCCAAGTTATTAGATCTCCAAAGTGAAAACATTAGATGCTACTTTTTTTTTCCCCTTGCAACAACACTAGTAAATGCCAATAAAATAGAGAAAACTACCATGAATTCAGTCACCTTGGCAGGAATAAATAATATTCCAAGTAACTATTATTCAAGCGAGTTTCAAAGATAAAAAGAAAATTTTCTGAGGACTTTGTTAAGCAATTGCCATAAAACTGAACAATAAACTGTGATAAATAAAATCTCTGTGACTTTTTTTTTCAATTCAAAGGAGTAACAAGCAGTTGAGATACTCACTACCACTCAGTATCATTGCCACAGCACTAGTGGCATGTACCTACAATTCTGTCATTCTCAACTGCCTGTAAAATACCCTAACTACTATACTTTAAGGGTATTAAAATTTTGAATAATAGATTTTGTATACTGATATAGATTTTAGTCCCTTGACAAATCCAGAATTGAAAGTATTCCTGGTGTTTTTTCTTCCCAATCCATCACTGATCTTTGAAATAAAATCAGGGTGATAACCTGTTTTGTTATTTTGTTATCTCTTTTTTTTAAATGCTATTTATATTGATGTTATGTCAACAGGAAAGTTACTGCTCTGGCCTCATATTTACTGGAATACTGAGACAGTTTGGGGAAGGCACATCAAACAAATTTAAGATCAGTGCATGAAGCCTTCCTCCTCTGCAAAGACAAGTGCTAGAAGATGACACATTAACAGGTAAGACAGAAAATAACAAAAGAAAAATTTTAAAATGACAGTGTTAGCCATCCATGGACTGAACCAGGACTATGAAAAGTCCTTGTTTGCACTGTAAACCTAAATCTCTCCAGTGGCTTGGCCTCCAGCTCTACCAGTTCACGCGCTGGGAAGGGGCTGCAGCTCTGCTCTGGCAGTTCCCCCCCAGGTCGGGCCTCTGAGCCAGGAACCGGACAAATGGATGGAAGAAACTTAAAAACTTGCAGGGTAAGGAGCTCACATGAGTTCCTTAAAAAAACACATGGGAACCCACATGTGTCCCAGCTCACCCATGGTGTGAGGGAGGCAGCTGCACTGCAGGGCAAGAGACACCTCCGTAGGGCTGCCGGCCAACCTCAAAAACACAAAATACTGTCACGTGTATTTTAAGTTATCCATAGCCTGCCCATGCCTCAGTGCCTTTAAAATAAGAGCTTAAGAGAAGGTGGAAACAGAAAGGCAGAACTGGGAATTGCTTCGGTCATGCCTGAGCCTATACAAATAAATATATAAACTGGGGGTACTGACACTGAAGTTTTTTTCTGATTTGTTATACAAAATTTGTGTGCCTTTAAATATTATTTTAACATCTACTCAACTTCTTGCTAGCACTTGAAATATCAGGTATCACACTGGAACGCTCGTTTCCACAGCATGAACTACGTGGAAAAACAGCTTGGCCTTCTTGCCAGTGTAGTATGAACTAGCTAAGGTGAGAGCCCAAAAACAACAAACAAAACTTACTACACTGCAGTGTAAACTGAACTCCTTTCTCTGTCAGTTTAAGCTGGAGAGCCAACTTAACAGTACTGCAAAAGTTGCAAATAACATTATATAAAACTTTGAACTGCTGGTTGGCTATGCATTTTCTACTTTTACTGCTTGAACTCACTGTCTAAAGTCAGTCTTTTCAAAAGAAATAAAGCTCTGCAAGTTTGTATACAGAAAGCACTTTCAAACATTTTTGAAGAGTCTTTAATTAGGTTAACCTTTACAGAAAATTATATTAATGCTGATTAATGTAGTTTTCTTCAAGTGTCAAATCTGGTTTTCTTTTACCGCTAGCTCATGCCTCAAACTGTTTCAACACACTGAAGAACTTCAGGGAAAACAAAGAAAACTCTTCCTGCCTAGAAGAGTTCAGTGGACAAAAGAACTGTCCAAATATTGAAACTGATTGATTTATTTCCTCCCTCCCACCCAGATTACATCTATAAATGTAAAACTGGTATTCCTCAATATAATACATATAAGAGAAGTTAGGATCCTAGATACTGGGATGCTAGAGCATGTACATTCATACTTCAACTGAAAGGAGTCCATAGTACAACAAAACCAAGTGTCTTTGTCCATTTGTTTGACTACAGGACAAATTGTGCAACTTTCGAAGAAACTTATGCCTATGTAAAAAAATGTTCATACTAGCAGCAGTTGATATTTACGTTTTCAAAATGACTGAGACAGAATGGGAGGGGTACTCACACTAGTGAGACCACAAATCAAAAGGAAAAATTGCATGCAGAAGGTGGTAAAAAATTAATTTTTAACTTTCTTGTAGCTATGGCAGAAACTAAAGAAAGGGAAGGATTTTTATTTTGGTGCTTCTGCAGATTTTACCATTATCCACGTACTATTTTCAGGCCGTTGCTTATCAGGCAACTCTCTGAGGTAACACTCGGAGTTTTTCCAAGCACCCCATGTGACTCTATTCTGATCTTTTCCTTCCATTCGTCTTTTCACATGAATGAAAGGAAAACTAACCAGTATCATTCTACCCCTCCTTCAGAAAACTTGAAGACAGACAGAACTAAATAATGGCAGAGTCAGGAGCAGACTCATCCATTTTTCAAAGCAAATTACTCTAGTAGCTTCTTCTGTTTCTTAAACACAGTGAAAATCCTTATTCTTCATTTTGAAACTACCCAGATGTATCTTACAGTAGATAAGAAAGTGATTTGTTAAATGCCCAAACCTTTCGGTGGCCCCATGAGCAGAGGTTGCTCTAGCCCGTTGAATTTCATCCTCCAAGCGCCTTTTTTCTTCCTCCAAACGTGCAATGTCTTCAGGGGATCGTCTCTGTTGACTGATGAGCTGCAGCTCCTGAAGAAGAGCCTCCTTCTCTTTGATGAGCTGAAGACGGTCCCTGTCCGCCTCAGCCATTCCTGGCCAGGACTCGTTGTCCAGCAAGGCCAGCTGCTGTTGTATATTGGAAACTCTTTTAAAAAAAACATAAATACGTTTCAAAAAGCAGGAGTGATTAAGAAGAAAACAAATGAGACGGAAAACACCACAGGTCAAGAATCTTTGACTGCTGATTTCAGTGCCTTCTTATCCAAACCCTGAATAAACACTGAGGGGAGCGCTTGAGTTTATTATTTTTTTTGTTTTTTTTGGGGGGGTTTTCTTCCTTCATGTTTTCTGAGTGGTCTTTTTTATTTATCTGTTTTCATATCTCACTCATTCTGAAGTAAATCAATTCATATTTTAGGACTCTCTATCATGAGTTTGCTGTCTGCATAACTGATGAAACTGAACATCCTTTCATTCCTCATTCTTCCTCTATAGCATCTTCCTTTGACACTTAAGATGGGCTGGGGGAAATACAAGGGGAAGCTGGAGATACCAAGTCCCATAATGGCATGTCACATTTCTACATGCGAGTCAGAGGAAGGGTTCAAGAAGCTGAACATTTTAGGCAGTTCTGGCAAGACAGACACTTTCTGAGTATAAATAATAATTATAATAATAAAATGCTATTGCTCTTAAAAAAAAAAAGTTTAGAACCAGCCATGAAAGCGGGATATGAATTCCCTTATGTCCCTTAAGCAATCAGTTTTTCAAAATATTTGATAAAGAATGAATAAAACAGTAACAACAAACAAAACAGTACGAACACATGACAAGAAAGATTCATGGACAAAATATCAGTCTGATTACATCTCACAGCTTCCCAAGGAAAAGTAGACATGACCAAGATAGGCTTTGCCATTTCAAACAAAACCTCACACAATGTTTACTTCAGACTGACATCTGGAAAGTATTTGGTCAAAGTATTATCAGGGGAAGGGACTTAGAGTATCAGTATAAGCCATTTTATAATGGCCACTTTAATTACAGTTTGTGTGCTCCTACATGAACAGGAATTTTACTGTGGGTTTTGTCATAGCAGGCTCTTTTCCCCCCTAGCGTTCTTTTACAGCAAGTAATGAATTTGGGTATTACGTTACATTTTAGTCTGATATAAGGTATTTTATCAGGTGGTTCAATACCGTTTCCTCTCTTTGTATTACTAACCCGCTGCCTGTGAATAGCTAGCGACAGCACAATGGTGAATGGATACGTGCAGTTTACGCATTTCATGCCTCGGCTATTGTGCATGAATTCCAGATGCAGTTTCCTGACGGACATCTCGCCCAACGCTGGAGCCGCAGCGCCAGGAACCGCGCGCGGAGCCAGCAGCCCCACTCCTCCTGCTCACCCACACTGCTAAGTGGTTAAAGATTCAGTAAACACTTCTGAACGTATATACAGCTTGATTTTGAAGCATTTGGTGCCAAATGAAACAAATGGGAACTTGAGGCCTGCTCAGCAGAATTACTAATTTCAGACACAACTGAGTTATCCCGGGCAAACGGGTGAGCGGCAATCAGCCAGGCACTGGCAAGTCACCTCAGTGACCACGGTTTGAAGCTCTTAGCTTGTGGGTGAGGGACTTTTGGTGTCAAGTCAGCTGAAGGAGTGACTCTCTCTTTCCGTTTAACACTCACAACTGTTTTCCTGGAAGTTTCCTAGAGCCAGGAATCGCTGTGGAGAAGGCATGTTGTCTCTTATAGCAACCCTTGTATCACTGAAGAGTCCACCGAAACAGGTAAGATCTGTTTAGATATTTACTCAGGATTCCCTTGATACTTCTCAACCTTTCAGCTAGCTTGCTGAAAGAAGCAAGGAAAAGCACTCGCATGACACCACACAAGGCGGGAAGCTGCTGTGAGGAGTGCGTCAACAGGAGCAGGCCGGTTTTCCGCGCCCTCCATTTCCTGCACTTCCTCCAAGCGAGGCAAAGCCCTCCGACAAGTTTGCTGCGTGCCTTCCACCAAGGACTCCTCAACAGGGCAAGGTAATCCAGAAAGCGACCAGTAATAAAATTATTTAAATTCATCTCCCTGCCTAGAAAAATAACCCTAAGGCTTCTACAGTCAGGAGCAAAACCAGAGGACAGGGGTCGTGTTCCGTTTTCCTATAAAAATGCAATAAAAAAACCCTTCCGAGCACATTCCATAATTGCAATTTGTCTTCTCCAAACAAAAGTCTTTTCTTATCAAACAGAATAAATGCATAAACTAACACTTACACTGGGCGTGTCTATGCCACATTTAATGCCTGTACTGCACCAGCCCTTCTTGCTGCTAGCCCATTTTTTGCTTTGTTTCAGCCTCAGAGCATTTATTCATCTATCTTAACCACAAACTTAAATAAATCAATGAATTGTCAGGGATATCATTTTAAAATGCAGAGGGAAGAATTAAGGTCCTTTTTAGAACCTTTGTTTTTCAAATACATTTTCCCCTTCCTGTTGGGTAGTTTTTGAGAAACTACTTTAAAGTGTAAACACTGTAAAAGCACGCTTTTATCTAACCCAATGTCAAATACTGAGGTCCCTACTGAAACAGCAATAAAACATTTTCCTGGGGAAAAAACAGTTAATTTCTCGCACCATCAACATTCCAGGCATTTTGCCCATTCCCATCCTTGCATAACAAGTGCTGAGGAACTTGCATTCCACACTCGAGTAGGTGGTATCAAATGACTGGTTTCCTAGGTAGACAGACCGACTTGCTGCTTATTTCAATATTTAAAAATTTCAAAAAGCGCTGAATGTAACAGCTCCTGTAAAGCATGGGAGCAGGAGCGGCGCAAATGGGATGTCAGAACTTTGACCTGGTCAAAAGTTTAATCTTAAATAAATACCCATTTGAAATGGCAAACTTGCTCTGAAGCGGCCATATTGAATATTGATATGACTATAATTATGCATTTTTCATGATATCATAGACATAGTATGAGGAGGTTGGAAAGCAGGACAACAAATAAATTACTGTACATCATCTGAACTACATAATAAAAAAACTGCAAAACAAACAAAGCACCCCACATTTTCAGAATTCCTAGCATGCCTGAATCGTTATATTCCCACACAAGGGTGCCCTAGACAAAATGGTGCAACCCAGGTTGTCATCAGAAATACCTGGGAAAATTAAAGGATTTTGTTAGCAGCCAGAGGCTCTTTTCAAGAGTGCTATTTGAACTCGACAGTCAATGAAATTATGCTACCCAACCCAAGAACATTTCAGTGTATAAGTAGTTATTTATTAAAACACAGCATGGGAAATGAGAATAAAGTTGATTTTTTTTTTCTTGTGGAATGGATCACCTGATATATTTGTATTACAGATTAGCCCCATGTTTAAACAATTATTCCAGTTACAAACACAACAAGCATTGTGGGAAATAAATACTCTGAAGGAATCAAAAGAGGGAAAAATTAAGGGAACCAGGAATCCAGCATTTCCTAACTTGTGCATGCTGGTCTTTCTAAGATAAACACACTCTTCTAACATACTTTCTTTGACATTCCCAAGCTGATTTTAAAGAACAACAAAAATAAAACCTACATTTTACTGCACAGGCTTGTGGGTGACACACTGGACCACTCCTCTGCTGAGGTCTTTGTTACCTGACGGATAGGAACATCGGTTGGGAAAAAAAAAGGGCCATGGTGATTTGGAGAAACGTGGTTAAGATCACACAATGTCCGGATCACTGACAGAAATCAGTCCAGCTCACCTTTTCTTTTCTTGCATTTTTTTTCCTACTCCCTTTCTGGAAAGGGCTTATTACCAGACAAACCCATCTCTCTGCCACTTCAGATAACAGGGAATTCACATGCAATACCCGGAAAAGGTGAGTAGGGGACTGAGGACACAATGCAGGCTATAAGAACTGGGTAATTTCTGGTATTTGTGGTCCCTCTAGAGAGTGGATTATAGTTTACATCAAAAGAGAGGAAAGCTAGGGAATGGGGAAGAAAGAAATGGAAAGAACAAGAAGTTGGGGAACGGAGCCAAATGCTCACAAAATTTCTCCACTGTGTCTGCTTTGGCTGTTCCTGCAAGTATATGCCACTGTGGCTTTGGCAGACATCGCAAGAATGTGCTTTAGAATATCCAGCCTTTCTGGAAGCCTGCTTCAGTAACAAGGAGGTCTTAAATTGGCTTAAGACACTCATGAAACCTTTAGAGTCTATTGGCATTTCTCACGTAAAATTAGGTATTCACCTTCAAAGGAAAATTGCAAAGCCTGTTAAAAACAGTGAAGGAGAGTAACGAGTATTTCCTCAGTTCACAAGTAAATTCTCATAATAAAAATTTTAAAGACAGCTTAAGTCTGCGGCTCAGTTCTCTTTACACTCTAAACAGAAAAGCAGTTTTATGTTTAAAAAAATGACACTGGGAGATCTAGGCTTAGCTGACATGCCTAACCCTGGTATTTATGTGGTATCAGGCAAATTGGTTCATCCCTAAATCAAATTTACAGATTAGTTAAGTAGAATCAAGCACACAAATCCCCTGAATTTCACTAGAAATGAGAAGATTACTTGCCTACACAAGATGAATTTTGACAGTAAAATGCTTGACTATACTATCGGTAATGAAATGTTCCTACCTTTATCAAAAATACATTTTGTCAGTACAAGCAGATAGCCCACTGATACACTTTTGCCTTTGCTAGTGCTCTTGCAGGCACAACTGAAAATTGATTTGAATAATTGTTTTTCATCAATTGATTGCATTTATTGGATAGGAGGCACTGCAGCAATAACGTTTCAAGACAACCTGCCAATATACTTTATGTAGTCGCTCAACTGTACTGCACAATTTGGATTTCTCTGGAGAGAAAAAAAAAAAAAAAGGAAAAAAAGGCTTTGAATTTACTTTCTATGAAACAGTCTTTTGAGAACAAGAGTGCTCAAGGGGGGACATCTTCCCATGTGCAAATGTGTTCATAAGAGGTGGTCTAACTGAAATAGCAACTGAAACCAAAACCGGTGTTTTTCCAGGCAGCTCGGGGTTGTCTGTTCAAAAAAACCTGTCCTCCCTCTCTCTTGTTCCTCTGGAGGCCACACTGACAGATCTGAGAGAAAAGACTTCACGGAAATAAAGTACAGTATATTTTAAAATAATGGAAGAAAAGGAGAAGCGTCAAGAGCAGAAGGAAACTGATTTATCCTCTCTCCAGCATGATGGGTGAATTAACAAGTACAATTTAGATGCCTTCTCCCAGCATTACTGGACTGGACACAGGATAAAAGACGCCTTCCCCAGCGTTTTATAGATGTCAGAACCCCTGGCTCACAACATCTGAAGATCCTCATGGGAAAAATTAAAATGCAAATTATCCGACTTCCTTCCAGTGGGAAACTAAAGAGAAAAAAATAATTAAAAAAGGCTCTGTGAATCTGTGAATGTCTCAATTTATGCAAAGGCCAAACCACTCCGTACCGTCAGGGAGAGATTTTGAGGAAGGAATTAAAATCAGATTATCTCCTAAAAAGGAGGAGGGAGATTCTAAAAGAATTAGCCACCTTGCTGCAGTCACTGGGTCTCAGCTCTCCAATTCTTCAAGACAGTTCTTTTGCATAACCCAACACCGTATTTTCCTTTTAAAACACCACATACATATGCATTTTGTTTTTTAAAGAATTCTTTACTACATATGGTAAAAATTCTACTCCTGTCTAAAGCTGTATTATCTTCTGGATAGATTCACAGCGTCTGGTTAAAATGCAACCTACTGCATTTCAGCTTGGCTATTTTTTCCTTGTTTTCCTTTAAGGAAAGAGACATACACTCCTCCTTTAAGTCTTCCATTAAAAATGTGTTTCTTTTTGAAGTAAACAAGACATTTTGCCTACTGATGCTGTCCTTATTCACTATATATTTCCACATTCCATTTGACAAGCAAGTGGTTGTAATATAGTGTTTTGCAGTTGTGATATACTGTAGCATTTTAATTTTCTACTCTGTAGATTTTAATCCATCGCAGCACATTCCGTCACCCACACTGTGCACTAACAGTAGATATTTCACCAGCCAAGGGGAGAACGGACACAAAGATATTTAGTAGAGACAAAAGCTCTACAGAAATGCCAGCAAGCTAAGGGGAAGGAATGCATGATAAATGAAGAATGCAACCACAGAGATAACTGGTGGGGCAATGAGCTTTGTGCAGTTCCACTCAAAAGCTGAAAGCTGATTACATTCGTGCAACATACTGGGCAAAACAGGGCGACTATTTTAAAGCAACTCGCTTGCTTTTGCTAAGTAACAGACCATTTTTGCTATCTCCGGATAGAAAAAAACATCTTTAGTGCAATTACTATTCTCTAGTTGGAAGGTTAGTTACCCTCGTTTTCTCCCCTCAGTTAACATCAAAACCCAGCTCACTTCTGATGCTCAGAAATGCTGCATTCCGTGCATACGCAAATGTTCAGCATTTCCAGCTGGGAAATGCTTCTGCTATTTAAAACAAGCAAAACAAAACAAAACCTTATCTTCTCCCTGTACCAATCCACAAAAGAAGAACTGGTTTTGAAAAAGGCACAGAAAATATGTATCAGAAAAACTTAACTAAAACATATAATACGATCTTTATAGCACCAGAAGTTCTGCTAAGTTAAAGAGGATACAATTTAATTCTGTATTTCCTACTTAATTAACTGTCATATATACCTAAGTTATCACTGGATTATAAAGTGCTAAGGGTTATGCATGTGATCAAACAACCTCTTAATGGATTTCTAGTTTGCCTTTTCTCCCCCCCAACTATTTACCTTTTACTAAGGAAACAGAGGCAGGTATCTATCCCATGCATCATTTTCATGACAACACAGACTTTCATTCCCGCTACAAATCCTGGAGAAGTTTAGCTGCCTAGCTATAATATGCTTGCACCAAGTATTTTTTAAGCCTGTATTGTATCCAAGCGAACGTAAATTTTCCGGGAATGACAAAAAGATGACTGCCCTACAAAACTTCCAATCCTTGTCAAGACATATGACAGCATTATGGATTCCGTCAAAGAAAAAGTCACCAAAAGCACTTGGCTTTCTTCAACCCTAAGAGATGTCAAAAAAAAAAAACAAAAACAAAACAAAAAACAACAACAACAAAAGAAACTGAAAAGAAGAAAGGAAAAGCTTGAAGGACACAATTTGGAACAGTAAGGTTTTCAAAGTTAACTATAATAGCATCTTTTAAGCAACGGTCCATTTTAATAAAGCATATTCTATTACTACCCATTAAAATAATCACAGATGTATAAAATTAGTGTGTACAAGCTGTCATCTATACCTTATGTCTTGAATATGTGGCAAATAGATGAGAACAGTTTACATTTATAAAGCCTTAAAAAAACCTGCAAGACTAACATATACAAAAGAAATAATTAACTATGAGGAGAGATTAGACTGGAGACAGCGAAGAATTAACCTATTTCAGGTTCATTTATTTAAAAAAAAAATCAAAAAAAAATGTTTCTCATCTGAAGGTCTGGAGCATTTTTTCCCCTTTTTGCTCAGCTAGGAACATTTTCACTTATCTTACAGTATTTTTTATTCTTCCTTCATACCGAATTTACAACTTTAATATACTGAATCTGGAACACAGGCATGCAAAACTGTGAATATACTGTCAGAGTCAGACAAATGTAAGGCCAGACTGTTGTTTATATTGAGGTTTGACAAGAAAAAAAAAGAAAAAGAAAAAATTGTCTAAGTTCAATTAAACTACTACAGTTTTGTGTTTATATGAGCGTAGAACAGAGCTGACATTTGGTTTTATCTCTGCAAACAAATATAATAATCTTATGATAAAGTCTTATGTTTACCTAAACTCTTACTATCTCTTAAATACTCAATACTAAGCAAATGAATCTTCTTAAACACATTTCAACTAGTGCCTGTTCCAGTTCCACTTTGAAAACATTAATCAGAAACATAAAAACAATCAAAATTAAGTACACTCACCTTTTCTTCGCCTCTTCATATTGCCAGTTCAATCTTACTTTGTCTACAAGTCTTGTTTTATCATCAAAGCCAAACTTTTGTAGAGTTGAGGAGCAAGAACAAGGAAAAAAAGGGAGGGGACAGGAAACAAGATTTTAGAAAACACTTTCACAAGGAAGAAAGGGATAAGTTAAGTCTCTTCTACTACCCTCACTAAAAATAATCAAAATCCATTTAAAGCTTTAGAGATAGAAAATTAATCTTTTGCTGAAAAATATGAAAAATAAATAAATCTGCCCTTTCAATAAACTATAATCCTGGACACTAACAGTTAACAAGCATAATTACTTAGGAATGGGCAAATTTCCAACTTAACCAACGTTAATATAAAAAGAATGAACTTTAGATGAAATATTTCATCTCTTGGATACAGTTTTTCATGGAACACTTCTTATGTGTAGTTCAGATTACACAACACTGAAGCGCTACCCAGCACTTAGCTCCTTGCTGTACTTCAAACACTATTCCAGAATTGCTGATATATGTTGTTTGAGTCAGGCACAGAATACACATTTATGTTACAGCTCCTACAGGACACCACCCAGCTCTACAGCAGCTTCTCACCATCTCATGGCATCCCATCTTCAGAAGTCTGTGCATGGCCTAAACGTTACAGCCAGAGGCCTGACCTAAATGCATTGCTATACTTCTGTATATCCTGTTAAAATACTGGTTTTGCTCTCTTCACCATCACATCTCTCAAAAAAAAAAAAGCACCTCCTTCACTCACATTCCACCATTAACAATTCAGGAAAATAATTTCATTATGTATTTGAGGACAGCTGATGAGGGGATGTTGTCTACTTTGACTTCAAAACTGCCTCCCACAACATCCTTATAGACGAGCTGATGAGCAGGCAGTGGACTGAAAACCCACTGAATGACAGAGCTCGGAAGGTTGTGATCAGTCATCCTTACAGACGAGCTGATGAGCAGGCAGTGAAGTAGACTGAAAACCCACTGAACGACAGAGCTCGGAAGGTTGTGATCAGTCGTAAAAAGCCCACTTGGAGGCCAGAAACAGAAGTCAATATGGAGTATATGGAGTATAACCCTGTTCACCTTGAGCACCCGTGACCTAGATGACGGGACTGAGAGTTTGCTCCTGTGGCTGCTACACACCACAGGGGGATGGTTGGGCTCCTCTTCAGAAGGCTGGAGAAATGGGGAGAGCAGAACCACAGGAAGCTCAACATGGAGAAGAGCTGGGTCTTGCACCAGAGGAGGAGTAGCCCCATGCACAGGACATGCTGACACAGTAATAGTGTAAGACAAACGTTGATCATTTTAACATAAAATTTAATTTACACAGAATTGTTTCCATGCTAGAATGCTGTTCTCAAGTATCATTTTTGAAGTCATAACTGAGCATAAAAGAATGACAGACTAGACCAGAAATTCTACCAGTTCCTATGAAAAATATTTTGGAACTCTAACAGAGAGTTCCCTTGTCTTGGACAAAGGAAAGGAATACAGGTCTGCCCTAAATGTTTTTAAACATGAAAGAGGATGACAAGCATGATGAAAACAAGATTTAAGGGAAAAAAAATTAATACCGGAATATTAACAGCTCCAGTTAGTTACTGCACAATCATGTCTCTACTGCAACTTTCAAATGAGTATTTCCATCCTAATAATACCGAAATATTAACAGCTCCAGTTACTGCACAATCATGTCTCTATTGCAACTTTCAAATGAGTATTTCCATCCTTTTTGCATTGCTGCAAATACCATTAAGTCTGAGAACTGGCAACGAGAACCTAACAGGTCTGTGGAAATGTCTGCAAGGACTGATCTCCAAGAGATGAACCTCAGCGATGACAAGGAAACTGCTCTGTCAGCCTGGCAGAACCCAGGAGCTAATTCAGCCTGTCGCTAATCTGCGAGCATGTCACAAAAGCCACGAGACACATGAAGCTCATGAACGTTGTCCACAAGCTTTGAAAACTGTAAGTAAAAAGCAACCCCCCCCACCCACTTGGGGTTAGGGCAGAACGAAACATGCAAGACATCTTAAATGAAAGCAGGAAATAACGCTGTACGCGCGCAGTGCACAGGCAGCGTGTTTTCTGGAGCGAGCGCCCTGCGCGGGGACACATACCTCTCCAGTGATGTCAGTCTGAGAACAAGCATCGCAGTGTTGTTGAGGTAAACAGGAGTCGCTGAGCGAACTGGAATTGTGCTGGAGGTCCTGCAGGGAATCCGTAATACAACAGCTATTCCTGAAGCCATCTGTTAGCTTGGCCAGGCTCTACAAGAGAACAGATTAAAAAAAAAAAAAAAAGAGTAAGAAAACTTGATTTTAGCTTTTGTAAGCCTTACAGACAGCTCTTTAAATCCAGCAGCTGACAATTTGCAGGTAAGTTGATAGGAAAGACAAATGTGACTCACCTGCCCTTTTGCCATTTTTTGCACATTCTGCATTCCGTAGCCACTACTGTTACCCAACTTGACGAATACCTTGTATTAAGCATATTTTTATGACAGCAGATTTCACCCTAGTGCTCCCTTGCCCAAGGTTCACATGCTAGAGATATTTTATACTTTGGGTTAAGCAAGGGACATCTCTAAGATGTTTAGGAAATGACACAAACTGCGAGAGTGAAGCAGAGACCTTGGGCAGTACTTAAGGGAAGAATTTGGTTGACAGGCTTTTAAAACTCCTTTTAAAATCCCCAAGAAATATAGAATTATTTTTATCAGATTTATTTTCTGATTCTGTATTTTCTGTTTTTCAAAAATGTAATTCCAGCTGATTTAGTATTTGCAACAAAACCACTGTGTAGCCTGTCATTTATGACTGGATCTAAGCATTCAACACTGAAAGAAGATGTAAAGAAAAGCTTTTTAAATAATATAATTAAATTTGTGCCCCTAGTGTCTGAAAAAGACAAACGATGAAATTAAGTGAGAAGCATTGATCATAAACCGAGTTCTGATTATCACTGATCATAACCTAAGCAAGCCATTTAGGTCTAAAAACACACAGATAAACTCCAAATTGGTTTACCTCAAGGGTCTGAATACAGAAATTGATACTAGTTTAAAACGCTCAAAATTGAGACTGCTGGCCCTCAGGAATCCCAATCGCTGATGGTAGCTGATGATCTGCAACAAGGTCTAGTTATTCCTGAAATCGCCAGGCTACTGCTAAGTCTGTGGAGGGGCAACAGCATCACACACGGATGGTGCCTCTCCTTACAGGAATAATACGGAGTCCAGCAAGTGCGCGCTCACGGCAGCAACCAGTCGCTGCCCGCAGGAACTGCAAGAAGACCTTGAAGACGAGGATGGCACCTGGTTTCTGCACCTTGGAGGCCTCCTCAGATCCCACTGCAGGCCTGAAACGCTGGCAGGGCCAGAGCAAAGCAGAGAGCAACACCAAGCACACGGCGGCTACCACCATCTGCATCGGAAAGCGCAGCCCGGCTTAAGTCCCAGGGGAAGGAATTCTGCTGCTGCCTCTGAACTGAACTGCTCCATCCTCGTAGCAAAGACACATGTATTGGTTTGTTTTCACTCTCAAGAAAGCAAACTCCAATTTCACTTGTACTGTCAGGAAGTCTCTCACTAGTGTCCCTTTACACTTAGAAGGCTTTCTGGCTTACTAAAATAAAATTAAATTAAAAACAAACAGAAAAAAACGGATATACTGAAGATAAGGAAAAACAGAGAGTGTTTTACTCAATGATGCCTGAAAACCAGAGTGATTACAACGTTCTTGTTGAAGACTCACTGGAAAAGTTCCAGTTCTGTCAGCTATATGGGGGATCAACATGGATTCCTAATGGGTCTGTGACATGGAAATAACCTCGTTTCAAATCCTAACTACTTAAACATCAAGTGTCTAATATGGTCTTCCCAAGAAAGCAGAGCTCACTGACATGAGAAAAAACCCACGGGCTGAGAAAGTCTGAGCAAGTAAGCAATGTCCCACCTGGAGCCTCTGGCTAACACGCACATGCCACAAGCGTATGTCACAGCAACGACCTCGATGCCAGAAGCGAACACATCAACCTCGACCCGCATTGCGGCTACCCCTCGCACGGCTGCTGCTCATCTCCCTGGCCAGGCTTGGTGCCTGCTGCCCTCTCACAGCTCCTGAGACCTGCAGAGCGACCTCAGGCCTGGCCGGTGGCCATTGCCGAGCTGCAGCACCGCGGCCTGCGTCTGCTCGGGGTGGGTATGTTGGGTTCGAGTCCTTCTGTTGGATCAACGGAGCCTCTAGCAGGTGTAACACAGAGAGACGCGGCCTGAACTGCCACGCTTCCAGACAGAACAATTCACATAAGAAACACCTGGGAGAGAGATTCGCTCGAGCTAAGGGGAGAATCTCCCTTTGGCTGTAGGCTTGTGGCATCTGCGGCTTACGGACTGTTCATGGCGATCCTGCAACAAGTGCCAAACCGGGCTCGGGGGCCGAGCTGAACTTCCAGGCAGCGCAGCCAGAACCTACCCAAGAGGAGAGGAGCGAGCGCCGTCAGCCACCACTGACCCGCTGCGCTCTGCTGCTCGCGGTCTGAGCAGAGCTCCTACTCGATGTCAACAGAAAAGGGAAAGAAGAAAAAGAAAAAGAAAATATCTCCAAGAAATGCAGGTATTTCCAAGGCTTTGTAAGGATGAAGTTCATGAAGAACATGTTCATGAAGAGCATGAAAGCGATAGGAAAGAAAAGAGAGAGAGAGGGAGGATGCTGCTTTCAGAGGCCTAACCACACACCTTGATTGCTTAAACCGTATATAAAAAGGGTAGGCTTTTTTTTCTTTCTTTCTTTTTGGAGCTGTGACAGTGCATATTTGGGCTTACTTGTAACCACAGCACCCAGTTTAAATCTGACCACCCTTTCCTTCCCCTGTCAGCCTTCTCTCCCACACAACTCAATCCAATTATCATATTTCTAAGACAGCTACAATTTTCCAAGCACCTACACAAGACTGAGTCACTTCTGCTATGTTTAGTTCTCTTGCTACACTGGCCAAGATATAAATTAAGAAGTAGTAAGAAATTTTCTACTTCCTTTCTCTGAAATAAAATCCCAGCTGTTTACACAATACTTCCAGCTCCTCTATAAATTCAGCTGTCAGAAAAAGAAAAGTTTTCCCAAGAAAGTTTGTCTTACCAACAATAGTTTTTAAATGTAGCACTTTCAAGGACAAACCAATTCCAAAATTGACAGTACAGGAAATAATGAAATTCCGAACTCAGCAGGGGAATTTTTAAAACAGACTTTCACTTGTTCAACAAAACTAAATAAAACCATAACAGCAATTAGCAATAAGAAAAATAAAAAGGCTAAGCACAAGTTAGCACAAGATAAGTTTGAGGGGGCATAAAAATCTTTTTTTGTTTGTTTTGGTCACAGTTAAAAAAAATTGTCAGGTACAAAGCTGGATATTTTAACAGAGCATAATAAATGCAAGTTGGCTGAAACACACAACTGTGGCAACTCCATCTCTTTTAAACTATACCATTTCATCCTTTACTTCAGTTGTGACAGAATTTGGGGCACCCTAGGCTTGCATGGGGCAGTTTTTTCCCAGACTCTCCTCGATTAGGTATCTATTAGCATTTGTCTGCTATCGCAACATATCAGTGTTACAAACTGTACCTTCTAGACCACTATTTCCTGGATGTCATACAGATTCATTAATTATGATCACAGCACTTTTCATTTTCACTTTTATATGACCTCCACATTCTGGTTGATTCTAGATTTCTGCCTCATTCAACACTTTATTTGAAGACACTGGAACTGCACTTAGAATTGCTTTAACAGATGCAATTTTCACAGCATCTCAAGCTTTTCAGCTGGATATAGTGCCACGGAAGGCTGAAAATGTAAGGGAAAGGAAAAAAAATGTTGGGAGAATTCAAACAAGGCCAGCAGTTAAGATGCTCCAAGATCTCACACACAAGTCTTTAAATTACCATTTAGTTTCCTAAAACGTGCGTCACTATATCCTTGAAGAACTGCCTTTCTAATCATCTCTTGCTAGCTAGGCATGTGAAAAACTGAGAACCATTTTAAAACTTGGCCAACACAAAAGATCAAGTATGTTGAAAGTTGCCAAAGCAGAAACTTTTAGTAGTGACTTAAGTGCTCTGTCCACTTGAACAAGGATTTGTGGCCCATCAGGTGACCTTTGGGTAATACTTTGGAAACTGAATAATTATATAACTATGGAAATTCATTATATGTAGATCACAAGCTACCCACATCATTTAACCAAAAAAAAAAAAAAGAAGAAGGAAAAAAAGTTACCACAAAAACACTACTGCAGAGAAAAAGGAAAACCATGTTTGAATAGAAGCATTAACAGCACTATTAATTTAGGAGAGTCCCAAAACTTGAGCAACCAAGATGACGTCTTTTTTCGTATAACAACTTCGACACTGAGTGAAGAGAATTATCCTTGTTTAAGTGCACCTTTTTTGGGGAAGTCCAGCCCGCCGCCCCTGCAGTGACTACATGTCTCGTCTCTAACACTGAACTCCACTCATGTCAACAACGTAGACTCAGCAACAGGCAATCCAGAGCAGGGTGCACAATCCATTCAAAAGCTGGACTGCAGCTTGGGCACCTCTCTCTCTCCTTAATCTTCATGATCCAATTAAAAAATGATTAGTTTAAATCTGAACTGTGCATGGTGGTTTCTGCACATATTGAGTTTAATGTATTTAACCCTCTTTTGAAGGGCTTTGAGAGGACATTTGAAATTGTGTTTATAATAACTTGTGCCTGGATAGGGATACTTGGGAGAGGAGTTTGTGGCAAAAAGGCGAACTGCCAAATTAGGAGGGAATATCAAATGATAGTGACGTAGAGATACAGCGTTTTCAGGAAATCTTGTGAGGTTCAACCCAGTCATGCAGCTTTCTGCAACACGGCACAACCCTCAGCAGCTGCTGCGGGGGGAAAAGTTATCAGGAGATTCTGCATCAGCAGGAGCAAAAGATTTCCTGCATAGTTTTATGAGAACTTGTAAAAGGAAAAACATACAGTTACAAACTGATAAACATTTTAGCACGTGACTGTCTCAGTCCCACTTCATTATACAGGACACAGGAGGACATTAAAAATTGAAAACGAATATTGTAAAACTGATCAAAGACTTCTTTTTTTTAAAAAAAAATGCAGCCTAATTATCCTGTAAAAGTCTTTAATACAGTTAGTAGCAGTGGAAAACAAAGTGTTCAAAAAAATATTTAGCCAACTGTGCAGAGAGTGTTATCTGGAACAAAAATATGGAAGGCACCTCAAGTCTCAAGTTCATAGTATGGATGATGACTACACACTTCTGACCTAACTACTGCTGGCAAATGTCAAACAGAAGAGGGAAAAAAAAAGCCATAACCAGATTAGGTCACTCATTTAACCTTGATGACCCCAAAGCAATCACGTTGCATACAGCAGCTATTTGTTGAGTAGAATATTTCTTACCTGCATAAGGTCCTGCCTTTCTTTTTCACCTGTGCATATAGCTTTCTTTATTGTTCGAAGCTCACTCATTATAGCTTGTGCTTCATCTAGCCTGTAATTTGTATGAGCACTGGACATTTTCCGATCGATCCTGTTGGAAAGAGTAGGACAAGTTCAGAAATTTTTGCAGAGGTAAAAAAGAACATCAGAATGTTTTAAGACCTCTCATTTATTCATGTACCACTTTGCTTCCAGAAATAAAAGGATTCTCTACTTTTATTCAGCACAGCATTCAGTGTCCAAAACACTCTGAAGACAATAAGGAAGACAATAAACACAGCAGTGTAGTGCAAAACAAAGCAACCCACTCAGGTTCTGCAGAACGAACAAATTTCCTGGTTTTAATGTGTCAATACAGAGCTTGCTTACAACAGGCAATATCTATGGGTTACGTTTTGTAATAAAAATACAATTAACCTAAAAGTAGCCTACACCTCCTAACCAGAAGATAAGGTCATTAGCCATCACGCTTTCTATGCAGCATTTTACAGAATCATTATGACTGCAAAAGACCCACCAAGCCTGCTGGCCCGTGTCCCCAGGCGCCTCCACCACGTCCCTGGGCAGCCCGCTCCAGTGCTTCACCACTGTGCGTTGCAACAAGTTCTCAAGGGGTTTTGTCTGGTCTTGTTTTAGACCTTTCTACTGGAGACAATCCTTTTTCTCAGGAAGATTTTTTTTTAAGGTCTAAAATGCATTGTAAAATTTTCTTGGTCATTCTATTTGGGCATCTTTGAAGATTTTTTTCTATCAAATGCAGCCACAGTACTGCTACTGTTCTCATCTTAATATCAAAATCTTTCTCACCTTAAGTGGGACATCCATTATAAAGAGACCATTTTAACTACTCCAAAAATCCAGCATCTTCAGCAACTG